TCATAATTTTCATTTAGAAAAAAATTTTCCGTATTTTCATCTTGTTCTTCTGTAAATGTTAAATTTTCAGATGTGTCTTCGATAATTTCATTTTCTTCATCGTCTTCGAAAAAATCTTTTTTTTCTTTTTTTTCACCATTCGGAATTGTTGATGTCATTTCGTATGAATTTTTTGTTTCAAAGTCGCCATTTTCAATATTTCCATCGTTTAAATTATCTAAAGTTATTATTTTCGACTCTGGAGATTTATAAAGTTCCCAATTCCAGTTAGGAGGAAACGCGTTTAACGTTCTGGGAGAATCGGGTACAACTTTTATTAATTTTATTAATTCTTTAAAATTATTTTTATAATAAATCGGCTTTTTGTTGTTCTAAAAATATTTCAAATTTCGAAATGCAAAATCATGAAAATTATTTTTAAAAAGAAAAAAGAGAGAGAAAATCTTACGTTATCGATTGAATTTTTATCGGCTCCATATGAAATAATTAAATCGTATAAATGATTATCATTTTTTAATGTCGTGGCAGCATAATGTAATGCCGTTCTGCCACTTCGATCTATCGAACGAATCAACGTATTATCGATATCGAGAATATTTTTAACTATTTTCCATCTGTTAAGACCCGATCCCTTGCAAAAAAAAAAGTTTTTTTTTTTCGTTTAATTTCATTTTTAAATTTAAAACAAAAAAAAGAAATTAACGAACCTTGTGTAAAATATTTAAACCGTTAATATCTCGACTATCTAAAATTTCCAAAGGAGCAGACGATATATTTTTAACAAATCCGTTAAAATCATCATCAATAACGGATAAATGAAGATTTTTTATCGAATTTAAAACGTGAGGAACTCCGTCTAAAAATCTAATTTATAAAATTATTATTATTACTAAAGTAACTGGAACTATTTATATTTCGGGGGGGAGGGGGAAATGAATCAAAGTATATAAGATAATTTTTAATTACTTTTTCATAGCTGGATCATTTGTTGTTTCGACCAATAATTTATTTCCGTGACCTCCCCAAATAACTTTTTGTAATTTTGTAAAATCTTTATTGTGAATCCATATTCTCAAACTTGAAGGTTTAATAATTAAATCTGGAATAATAATTAAATTAATTAATTTTCTTTTTTTACATAAAAAACGAAAAAGAAAAAATTTTTTTTTTACTGGTTGGATCATTGTCGAAGTGGTTGTTGTGGTTGTTGTTGTTGTTGTTGTTCTCGTTATTTTTTTTTTTACAAGAAGTTTCAAAAGCACCTCTCATAACTGGAAAAACTAATTCGTTTGGTTGTTGCATGTAATATGATGGGGCGCGTTTTTTCAAATCTAAAATTCTCGAATTGGCACCAGCATTAATAAGAATTTGCCAAATTTTTCCAGGTTCTTCTTTGGAACCTCCACAAAGATGAAGAGGCGTAAGTCCTTCTTTATTTTGAACATTTAAACATTTCGGATAATTTTTAACTAAAAACTAAAATCATTAAGTTTTTTTTTTTTTTTTTTTTATTTATTTCCGGTAAAAATTTTTTTTATTATAATTTTTACCTGTACGATTTTCGTATGACCAAAATAAACAGCTTTGTGTAAAAGGCCATCGCCATTTTGATCTTGACTTAAAAAAATATTTTTATCAAAAATTTTTGAATTTTTATCTTTTTCTATATCTTCTGCGACTTTTTCGAGGACCCCCAAATTTCCATCGGATGCCGCTTCGTGAAGTTCATTAATTTTATCCTTAACCGGAAACGAAAATTTTTTTTTTTTTTTAAATTTATCCACAACGTTTCTCGCGGATATAAATAAATTTTTTACGCACCAAATACTCCGGAACTTGTTTTAAAAAATTTCGAACTCTGGACTCGTTTGATCCTTTTTCTCCAACAAGTTTTTGTCCCTGACCTCGTAAAATTAATTTTTCCAGATTATATAAATCTCCAGTGTTTAACCATTTATGAATTATACCGGAATTAACCTGTAATACTTCCACTCAAATCCCTTTAATAAAATTATTTTTAATCACACGAGAAATTTAATGTTTGGGGGAGGAAGGAAGGGGGGGGGGTTGAAGGAGTGTAATGATTACAATTACCCGAATAACCTTTATTTAAAAAAAACCGTAGCAATTAGGAATAAAGCCATTTTTTTTTTTTTACCTTTTGGAGAATTCCAATGAACGTAATAATAATTTCCATTTATTTTACGCGATGTTAAATTATTTCCGGTATTTTTTAAACCTGGAAATTTTTTTTTTTTAAACGCCCCCATTTGATATGTATATAGAAATTTTTTTTTTTGGTCCCCCAACTTAAGAACTTCAATGAAATACTAAACGATGAGGAAAAAAAATTATGTTGTTGTTGTTGTTGTTGTCGTGTTATTGAAATTATAATAAGACAAGTTATTTAGTCAGACAATAAGATAAACATTATTTTCATCATTTTTTTTTTTTGTCTTCTTTTTCTTCTTGAATTGAAACCTTTCGGTTGCCAACAGAAGACTAAATAGTTGCTAACAACATATTTTAGGTCATTTCGATAAAAAAACGTCTTTAATTTCTTGTACGATGAGTATAAAATTGAAATTTAATTAACAAATAACTAATATTAATATATATTTAAAATTTTTCTCTCTATAAAGTTTTTATATATAATAATGATAATAATAATAGCCTTGAAAGTAATTTTTTTTTTTTTTTTTTTTTTGTTAAAAATAACGTTTGAGTTCCACAAATGAACCTACGCAATTGGATATAAAATCAGTTTCGTCTGCCAATTTAAGAATAAAAATAAATTATCGTTGCGTCAAATTTCAACAAAAAAAAAAAAAAAATTTTTTTCTTTTAAACCTTTTTTCTTTTTGTTGTTGTTGTTGTTGTTGTTATTCGAAAAGTATAAAAATCGAACGGAAACGTTAAATAATTGCGGATATGAAATGAAGACAAAAAATTTGAATTTATTTTTTATTAAAAAAAAAAAGGGGATAATTGTTGTATATGGGGTCATAATTATTTATAGTAACATGAATTGATAATCGAATGACTAGCAAGGTGAAAAAAAAAAAAAAAAAAATGAAAATAAAAAAAAATATTTAAAATAATCAGAGCAACGATGACGAAGGTCCTGTTTTAGTCCAGGCAATTCGCCAAAAAAAATCATGTTGTCCAAAATTTATAAACGTTAAATAAATATACGGGATATCTTTATCCACCCTCTCTCTCTCTCTCCCCCTTCATTGTTCTTATTATCAGAAAAAAAAAAATTCCAAAAAGTTAACCTTTATTATCGCACATAATTTGTTTGTATGAGTGTCCTTTACTTGTTGTCCTTTATTAATTATAACAAAAGGTTGTTACGACAACAACAACAACCACAACAGGAACAACCACGAATATCTAAATGTATTTTTTGTATCGTGTCTGGCTGGACACAAATGGACATTTTGTTCATATAATGTAATTTAAACATAAAAATTTCTTTTTTTTTTTAAATGAAAATTAAATTTTGGCATGAAATCAGTTAGAATGCCAGCCCTGATTTTTTTTTTATTTTCACAGATTGAGTCCCACAAATAATTGGTGCTTACACAATTTCACAAAAAAAAAAAAAAAAAAAAAAATTTTTTTTTTTTTCTTAGTTGTTTAAGGCAGTTTCTAGTCGAAAACGTACTTTTATTATTATTAATATTTGTGAAAAGTTATTAAAAATTGTTTGGGTTTTATTATTATTATTATTATCATTTATATTAAAAGTTTATTAAAATAGATTTTAAAAAAAAAAATATTGAGGATATGGTTTAAAAAGCTCGCGTTTTAATTATTAAAAAAAATTTATCGATTTAAAAATTTCGATCACGTTTTATTCCCTGAATTTTCTTTTTTATTTTTTTGTTCATAAATAAAAATTTAATTATTTTTCTTAGTACCACTATTATTATTATTATTATTGGTTTAGTAAAAAAAAAAAAAAGTTCATTGAATTTTTTTGTCACATGGCAAAAAAAAACTTTTTTTTTTTTAAAATAAAAAATTAATAAAAAAAAAAGTTTTTAATTCCGTTAAAAATTTTTTTTTCTTTTTATTATATTTTTCCAGAAGTCTAAAATGACTTATTTAAAATAAATTACAAATTAAAAAAAAAAAAAAAAAGAAAAGTGAAAAAAATGGCATCGTTCAAAGATGATAATAATAATAATAATATAAAAAATAAATGGTTAATAAATTATGAAAAATATATATTGATTATAACAAATAATTTTAAAAATAAACTTTCCTAATAAAAAAGGTAAGGAAAATTATTATTATTATTATTATTATTTTGGTTTTTTTCGAGGGTTTCCCCCCGCCCAACACCCCTTTTCCGCGTTTTTTTTTTTTTACGTAAAACGCACGTAAAATAATTTATTCGACCCCTTCCCTTAAATGTTCTCGAAATATATTTATTTTACTTTAAAGTTGGGGTGGGGGTGGGAAAATATTATTTTTTTTTTTTTTATAGGATGGAGCAATTCGAACAACTTTTAACGTGTGCCATATGCCTGGATCGGTACCGTAATCCAAAACTCCTTCCATGCCAGCATAGTTTTTGCATGGAACCTTGCATGGATGGTTTGGTGGATTACGTAAGACGACAGGTAAGTAACAAAAAAAAAATTATCTTTCCTCTTATTTATTTTTTTTAAAACAAAAAATGGAGAATAAAAAAAAAAAAATTGAATTTAGGTTAAATGTCCGGAATGCAGAGCCGAACATCGAATCCCTTATCAGGGAGTACAAGGATATCCAACAAACGTAACCCTACAACGATTTCTGGAATTGCACATCGAAATAACTGGAGAATTACCGGATCCAACGAGTGGACAAATTATGGAAAGATGTAATGTCTGTTCGGAAAAATCCTATTGTAGCATGTGCATGCATTGCGATAAAAAAATATGTGGAGATTGTAAAGGCGCACACAAAGATATTTTAAGAAGAGAAATTTCTAGAATAAATAATCAGGTTGGTCGATTGAAAGTAAGGGGAAAGGGGGTGGGAGGGGGAACAAAAAAGCGACGTCCTCATTTTGTGTCCCATTTCCCTTATTTTCTCTCCTCATTTTTTATTTATTACCTATTTTAAATTCAATTTAAAAAATAAAAAAAACAAAAAAATCGATATTTTAATTATTTTTAACTCTTAAATTAACAAACCTAAGGATTAACAAATCTAAGGGTTAACAACAAATCCGAGGATTAACAAAATGAGGATTAATAATAATTTTTTCTTTTTTTTATTACGAGACGACGACACGACGGAAACGACGCGTAAAATTTAAAACGTTTATTTTTAAAAATTCAACGTGTAAAAATTTATTTAAAAATAAGTATTATTATTATCATCATTGAAATGATAATTACAGGTAAAAAGAAGTCTTCATAAATTAGAAGATGTTTTGGCGGTTGTTGAAAAAAACATGGTCGGTCTTCAACATAATTGTTCATCAATAACGGAAGAAGTTGACGAAATCAATAGAAGATTATATAAAGCGCTTAAAGATAGAACCGAATATTTAAGAGGTAATAATAATAATAATCATTTATAATTCATCATCATCGTGGCAAAAACAATCGAACGGTTTTAATTTTTCCAGGTGAAATAAGTAAATATTCATCAGCGGAAAAAAAAAATTTATCAACACTTAAAGAAAATTTAGAACAGGAAATATCAAACATACAAAGCAATTGCGATTTGGCCGAGAAATACATAACCGAAGCCGTTGATTGGGATGATATTGAATTAATGGATGCCAAAGAAATTTTTTTAAAAACTGTTGATTTTATAAGAAATTTCGAATATGAAAACACCGATTATAATCGTAGAATAAGATTTACAATGACCCATGACCCTAATCAATTAGTTCTACTAGTTGCTGGTACGTTTATATATTATTATTATTATTATTATTATTATTATTATTATTATTTTCTTTTTAAAATAATTATTTAAAGAAATAAAAAATTTTTTTTTTTTTGCAAAAGTTTGTGTTTATTTAATTGTAAGGAAAATAAAATAAAATAATTTTGTTGTTGTTGGAAGATTCCCAAATAATTATTAGGGAAAAGGGGGGAAGAGAAGGGGGAGGAAGAAAAGAAGAAGAAGGAAAAGAAATTCACACATCACTAGCAATAAAATGCGTTTTTTTTATTTAAAAACGTTCGCGACATTTAAATACGAGTTATTGGCATGAACCATTTTCGTTTATTTTTTATTTTTATTTTTTTATTTGCTTACGTCATAGCAATACAACGCAGCAGCTTCAAAAAAAAAAAAATCTTAATAATATAAATTAAAACATAAATTTCTTTTTTTTTGTTGTTTGTAACAGGTTTTGGAGATTTGAATTCAATAGCAACTCATCAAAATGTATCAAATAATCTTCCGGGTTTGGCTGGAAGTGGTTCTAGCACGAATCTTTTGCAACCATCGGCTCCCGGACTTATGAGATCAAAAAGTGACCACAGATTAGCGACACAATTTCGTTCCCAGGACGAACGCGGTTACGATCGTTATGGGGAAGCTGACGATTCTTTAAGTACCCCTAGAAAATTCGGTGAAAGATACGGTAGACAGGGTCAAACAAGCGGAGGATTGTACGGAGATCGATTTAATAGATCAGATTATGGATCCGAGTACGAAGGCTCTTACGACACCGAACCGAAAAGACCCAGTTACAGATCAAGATTTAGAAGAGATCGAGATAGTGAACCCGAATGCGATTCGGGTCAATCGAGATCCGTAAGATTTAGCGAGCCACAGAACAAAGAGCGAGAAAGGGTTTTCGATACGGAAGATGCTGCTCGCGGTCCTTTGAGCGGCATAACGAGGTTGTACGATTCGCCTCGTGTTATGCAAAGACTTCAAGAAATGGGAAAGGAAAAAAAAAAAGTTGAAGTGAAACCCGAGCCGCCGCCGCCGATTCAAAAATTTCAACCACCCAAAAGAGCACAAAGGCAGATTTCGGAAGAGGATGAAATAACAAGAATGAAAAAGCAAAATAAAGCAAGCGCGAACGAACAAAATCAACCCGAGGCTAAATCGAGTGCAGACAGAACGACCGTTTTAAGAAAAGGAAATTCTCACGATGGTGAAGAAAGAAGTTCGGCATCGACGAGGGAGGAAACGACCGGTCGAAAAACGACTCCCATGCCCGAGGTATAAAAAAAAAATTTCACCTTTTCTTTTTGATTTATAATTCATCCATGAAATATTATCGATCGATAAAACTAATATTTACGCATTAGAAAATAATTTTAATAATAATGAAAAAAAAAAAAAAAAAACAGGTTCCGCCTTCGAGCGAGGAAGAAAGTGGCGATGAAGATGACGAAATGTCGCCATTGCAAAATAAAACCTCTGGTCCAACAGCATCGAACAGTACGACAACATCGCGAAGATCTTCGCTTCAAAGTGAATTACCAACAGCATCAGCAGCAGCAGCAGCAAGTTTTAAAAAATCCGGTAGAAGTGAATCGTCTGATTCCACGTCAAGTTCGGAAAGTTCACAAGGATCGACAACCCCAAAAAATTTAGGTAAATTTTTTTATATTTTTTTCTATTTATATTTAGGCAGGGAAAAAATTTCCCTCACTCACAGAGAGGGAAATTTCTTTCTTTCCATTTCTTTCTTTCTTTCTTTCATGTTTATTTTCGAAGTAATCTTTTTTCTTTTATCCTTTTCTTATTATCTTTTTTTTTTTTTTAAATTTTTATTAATAATTAATTATTTTTATTTTTTGTTGGTAATATAAAGTGTTAAACAAAAAAAAAAAAAACGATAAAAATTCACATTTAAACAAACAATTTCAATTTTACGAAATTATAAGTGACGTAACTTTTTATTTTTATTATTATTATTAAACCGAAAAATTGAGCCAAAAATTTTTAAAATATTTAAAAAAAAAAAAAAACAACAAAATAATATTGAAATTTTTTTTTTTAAATTAAATATGAAATCAAGTAAAAAAAAAAAAAAAAACAACACGACTAATTTTTAATTATATTTTTGTTTTTTTTTTTAACGGTTAAAATGAAAAGGCATTCAACTAAAATCAGGTAAAAAAAAATTTTTTAAATAAATAATTAAAAAATTCATGACCATCCACACCAATAATAAATTAATCAAGGGATGATGATGATGATGATGTTGATGATATAGTGTGGTGGGGAGGGAGGAAGAATGTGTTTAAAGTTTGTTGGAAATCAGACTGAAAAAATAAATAAATACTACCAACAACAACAACAACAAAAGAGAAAAAAAAAATTAATTTAAATTATTATTATTATTATTATTTTGGTTATATAAAAATCTTGTGGAAAAAAATAAAATAATAAAAGGGTTTAATTGTTTGATAAATGTTTCAGATTTTCTTTTAAAAAAAAATAAAATAAAACATGAACTATTAATAAAAACAAAATAATGTAGTAACTTGAATTGTATATAACTAATAATATTAATAATAATAATATTTTAAAAACAAAAAAAAAAAAACCTGTATAGCACTGAATGTATATATTTTATTAACATTATTATCAAAATCAACAACAATTCGAAATATTATTATTATTAAAAAATCAAATTTTTTTTTTCTCTTTTCAAATTATTTAAAAATAAAAATAATTACAAATTTTCTTTTATTATCAATATTATTCGCTATCGATTCTTCTTCTTACTGTCTTTACTGTTATTATTATTATTATTATTCTTCTTTTTTATTCATAATTTTTATTTTGTTGTTTTTTTAATTTGTTTTTATTGCTTGATGAGTAGGAGGACAAAACTTGGCTTCTGAGAATGCAAAATCAAAATTTTCACCAAGAGAAGATTCTGATAGTTTAGGAGGGAAAGGAAAAGTCAGGTTGTATTATTAAAAAAAAATAAATAAATACGGTTATGTGTATGATAAGGCATGTGTGTCTGTGTGTGCGTGTGCGTGCGTGGGTGTTTATGTGTATATATATATAAAAAAAATGATTTGTGTAACCGTCGATTGTTGTGTTTTATAATTAAGCAGCAGCACAGATGGAAGCAGTCAATTAAAATATCGAAGTCGGTTCTTAAATCGTCAAAATTCAGAAAATGTACAATTACCAACAAAAGAAGAAGATGAAGAAACGGATTCTGATTCTTCCGATTCGGATACTGATACAGATGAGGACACTGAAAGTGACAAAAGTAAAAACGATACCAATGATATGGATAAAACGGATATAGGTATAATTTTTCATTCCAGTATAGCAATTATTTTTTGCATCATCGGATTTTTTCACATAAAAGAAATCATTTAAAATTATATACAACAGAGAACACGACAAATCGTTTATATTTAAATGTTTATTTTCTCGAAGAGAATAATTTCGACCGTCGTTATTATCATAATAATAATAATAATAATATGAAAACAAACAAACAAACAAAATCTCATTTTAAAAATATTCCTGCAATCGTAGGTAACTTCAGGAACGTACCTTGATAAAATTCAAAACACGGCCACACGAATAAAGTAAACGAAAGGTTCAAAGGGGGTGTTCTGACTAAAGCCACGACAAAAAAAATTCGTTTTTTTAAAAAAAAAAAAATCGTTTACCGATCGCATCAACCGAATCACAAAAACTGATGACTTCTTCTTTTTTTTCTTCTTATTTTTAAAAAAATCAAACAAAAAAAAAAAAAAAACTTTTATGAGGACATTGAAAACGCCTACAACAAATCAATAAATAATTATAAATAATTAATTAGAAATCCATCATCATGTATTATTGAAGATTGAAGATGACATGTTTTTTTTTTTTTCTATACCACGATCGATTATTTTGGAAAAACGAACAATCCAAAATTTTTATTCATTTCTCATAAATATATTTACTACAATATTATATTATGAAAATGGATGATTATAATAATAATAATAATAATAATAATAATTGTAATCATAAATTTTCAACCGTTATTATTATTATTATTCATATATTCATGTAAAAATATACAGAAATATTTTTTTTTTTTTAATTTAAGTGAATTTAAGTCGAGTTTTAATCGAAAAAAAAGTTTTTATTTGTGATTATATATTAAGTGAAAGAAAATGATGATGATGATGATGATGATTTAAATATGTTAAAACGCGACATTTTTTTCTTTACTTTTCTTTTCTTTGTGTAAATTATTCGAAAATAAATTAAGTTTTGTGAATCATAATGAAATACTTTTTATTTTTTTATTTTTATATATATATAAAATAATAATGATTATCATTTAAATAATTAATTTTTATAATTATCTTAACAAAATTAACAGAAAAGTAATATATTTACTAAAAATCATAATAATTATTGTATATAAAATAAAATTAATACACTATAAGTAAAACAGAGGGGAGAGAGAGAAACACTTAAATTAATATTATTATTATTATTAATTATTAATAATTTTTTTTTTTTTTACTTGATACAATTCAAAAAAAAAAAAAAACATTTTATAAATGTTTTTATATCATTGTACTTTCAGCAAAAAATGTTTAGTTTGGTTGTTTTTTTTTTTTTTTAAATTAATAAAAATTTAAAAATGTTTGTAATAAGTTTTGAGATTTCGATCGAAATCGAAAGGTAGCCGACACTGAACCTGAATTAAAAAAAAAAAAATTAAAAATGATGCAATCTATATTTGTAAGAGATATATTTTGTTAGCAGGACCCTTATTGGCAAGAAGTGCACTTGCTAGAGATAATGGTGGAAATTCTAGGCAAAACAGTAAAGAAGGAAGCGTTTCGAGTTCGAGATCTCGAAATACTCCAGATGATTCGTCACTAAAAGAAGAAGTACCCTGGAGAACAAAATATGGAAATGTTAGAGAAGAAGAACCGACAAATTCTCGCATGGGACAAGATAAAACCGAAGGTTTTTCATTTTAAATTAATTAATTAATTTTTATAATTAAATAAAAAATTTATTAAATTTAATTTAATTTATTAATTTACAGTCCCGAGATTTTTGTCACGGAATCGTCAGTATCAAGAAGAAAATAAATTTCCCGGATACGGAAGTCGTTTTTTAAATAAAAATAAAAGTTCTCCCGTTACTAGCCAGGATGATGATTTAGATAAAATTGGAAGCAGAAGATATTCTAATGCGATGATGGATGATGATAATAAATATCCGACAACTCGATCCAGGTATATTTTTTCTGTTGAAAAATATCATTATTAATGTTAATAAAAATGATGTTGGAAAATTTTATTATGAATTTTTTTTAAATTAAAATTCAGGTTTTCGGGAGCGAGAGATGGAAAAAATTCAATAATGAAAAGTAGATCTTCCCACAATTTTGCTCAAGATGATGATGATGATGATGATATGAGTCCTTCTTCTTATTTACCTTCAAGATACGGTCAAAATATAACAAACGATCTCTCCAGGAGCAGATCAACTCATCATTTAAAAATGAAAGAAAATTCACCCGATCGTTTAACTTCCGGTCGTGAAAAAGATGGTGCGGCACTAAGCTCTTGGGCGAGATATTTAAAGGTTCGTATTTTAAACTTTTTTTTTTACAGATTTCATAATCGATTAAAAAATTTTTTATTTTCTTTTATATTTCAGAATAAATATGGAAATCGAGGTAAGGATGGTAAAGATTTGCCAAGCAGTAATCTTCCATCTTCCTCTGGAGCATCAACATCCTCTTTGAATTCGAGAAGGCTATCTTTAGGATTGCCTTTACGTCACAATTCAACGAGTTTCGAATCATCTGACGATGATCAAAAAAACATGCAAGGCTCCCCCACATCCCCTACAGTTATGGCGGCGGCAACAGCAGGTTATGATTTACTATTATATACAACTTTTTTTTTTTGTGGTTGTGACGAAAAAAAAAAACACCTAATAATAATTGTTGTTTTCCTTCTAGGTTTCGTAGCAGCGGCGTCAGGTTCTACCCTTAGAAACCAATACCTGCAAAAGCGTCGACAACTGTTTAAAATTGGGAGTCGGGGGAGCGAACCAGGATGTTTTACATGGCCCCGTGGCATTGCCGTGGGTATCGATAATTCAATCGTCGTAGCCGATTCATCAAATCACAGAGTTGAGGTATGTTCTCTTTCATTTATATTTATCTTGTTCAACTTTACTTTCTTTCTTTCTTTTTTTATTACCAAAATTTAAATTACGAAAATTTTATTCGTTGTTGGGGGGCGGCGGGGGGGGGAAATTAAATGGTTTTTATTATGATTTAGAATCATAAATTCATGTTTTTAAAAGGTGTTTGATTCAAGAGGAAATTTCCTTAAAGAATTTGGAACTTATGGAAACGGTATGGGAGAATTTGATTGTCTTACTGGAGTAGCCGTAAATAGAATTGGACAATTTATTATTGCCGATAGATATAACCATCGCGTACAAGTGTTGGATCCATCCGGAAGGTTCCTTAGGGCATTCGGTAGTCAGGGTACTGCCGATGGTAGATTTAATTATCCCTGGGGGATAACAACTGATGCTTTGGGTTTTATATACGTTTGCGATAAAGAAAATCACAGAGTTCAAGTAAAATAATAAATCTTATAATGCACACATGCACACATTGTAAATAAGGAATATCAGTTAGAATCTTTTTTTTTGTGGGTAATTTTTAGGTTTTCCAATCGGATGGAACATTCGTAGGAAAATTTGGTACTCAGGGAAATAAACCTGGTCAGTTGGAGCATCCCCATTATATAGCCGTATCAAATACAAACAGGGTGATTGTTAGTGATTCTAACAATCATAGAATTCAAATATTTGACGTTAATGGTAGAGTTTTATCTTCATTTGGTAACGAAGGTTCGGATGAGGGTCAATTTAAGTTTCCAAGGTTTATATTTTTATTATATTAAAATGTCGATAAAATAACTAAAAATATAAATAATTAAAATTATCGGATTACTATTTGTGTAGGGGTGTAGCCGTGGATGATCAGGGTTACATATTTGTTGGAGACTCGGGAAATAATAGAATTCAAATATTTCATCCGGATGGTTCGTTTTTAAAATCATTTGGATGTTGGGGATCCGGAGATGGAGAATTTAAAGGTCTCGAAGGTGTGGCTGTGATGAGCAACGGAAATATTTTGGTGTGCGATAGAGAAAATCATCGAATTCAAGTTTTTTAATTATTCGAATTATATAACTTTAAAAAAAAAAAAAAAAAAATCATCATTATTATCATTATACAAAATAAAAAATTTTGTTTAAATTATTTAAAAAGAAAATATATTGACAATAATTTTTGGCATAGGAAATATTTTGTAATTTTTTTTTTTTCGGTTTAAATTAAATAATCAATCGATTATCGATCATTGGCTTTAAAAAATTTAAATTTATAATAAGCATTTAATATAAATTAATTTGTTTATGGTTTATAATAATTTTATCACCTTAAATTGCCAATTGATTTAATTTTATTAGATAAAATATTTGGCAATTGATTTTTGATAAATAAAAAAAAAAGCAACCATTGCCAACCACAGCCTTGCCTTGATTGAATCAATTAAAATTATTTGGCACTTTTTTAAAATAAATAAAGAAATAAAAATTGATGATTAATTAACCCTGATTTTAATTGGTGTTAAAATAGGTTTCCCCTGATAAATCTAATTTTAAACAATTCAGTAATACAGTTATAATTTTTGCACAAATATTATTATTACAATTTTATTATCTTTTGCAAAAAAAAATTTTATATTATTATTTTTTTTTTGTTTTAAACTTTATAACTAATTAACAACTTTTATTACTAATCACATAAAATTTTTTTTATCACACTATTTACAATTTTTAAAATACATTATTTATTACATTTTAAAAAATTTATCATCATTAATAATATTTCATTATTTTTTCGAACTTTAAATTCTTTAAATTTAAAAACAATACATTCGAGGATAATTTAGAGTTAACATCCACTTAGTTGAATCCTAACTTGAGCCCTATTTTTAAATAATTGATAACTAGAAATCAGGATAAATTTTTTAATGTTTTATAATACAATTAAAAATTATTATTCTATTACATTTCATCGAGTCAAATTTTTTATTCAAAGAAAAATGTTACTTAGTTATAAGTAAAATGAAAAAAACACTTTTCTTTACAAACAAAGAACAATATAAAATAAAAGGCAGTCACTCGTTAGGAAAAAATTAATAATAAATATCATACAGAGAATACTTAATAATAATAAACATTACTATAACAATATAATGAAAAATAATTAACGTTTAACAAAAAAATTATTGAAACTAAATTCATCGATTTCTTTTTCTTCACTAAAAACAGCTTTTTCTATTTTAGAATATGGACTTCCCTTATACTGCAACCAATTTTTCATTTCATCAATATTTTTTCTCTCACCCTGAATTGTTCCTTTGACAGTTCCTTCAGTAGAATTCATACACCAACCCCTTAATCCTAGGGCAGTAGCTTGTTCTTGGGTAAACTTTCTAAAAAAGACACCTTGAACTTTTCCATAAATCTCAAAATTAACGCTTATTAATTTAGATGCCATTCTGTAATTAAAAAAAAATATATATATTTTAATCACTTATTTTAAATCAACAATTAATATTAAATTTCAATTTAAATCAAAAATATATAAATATATTTCTATACTTTACCTGTTTTTTTTGTTTGTAAATGAAAAGTGTTCGCGATAAAATATGACCATAGAGAAAAAAACTTGTTTATTTTAAAATGTATAATTTTTTATAAATTTAGTA